TACAAACAAGGTACAAACATAACGATTTCGTAATTACTTTCTGATAATTAAAATCTGCCTACTAGTATTCACAAAAAAAAACCTTCAAAGTAATTGATGTATACTGAACGATGACCGTGGAATGAATGGTATCAAGATTACAAATGTACTCCATTTGTTTGTATGTTTATTATCATTAGCGCACCTACCCATGGTCACAGAGAGCTTATCCATTTATAGAAACTTGACAGAAATAACATTACCACGCGTGGATCAATACAGACAAAAGTGGCTTTAAGATGTGTACAATTGACCGAAACGCCTACAAATTCAAAGTATGTTTCATTAGATCGATAATTAAATTTTCTCTGTGGTTTTCAAAATGGTTACAATTTGGGTGCGTCGCCGTGTACTCTTTTTCCTATTGAACACCTACACGCTGCGGCTGTTTTTCAACCGACACCCGATTACCGTCTCTTGGCATATCCTATGATGGGTTATGTAAAGGGCAACTCGATTGCACTCACGCTGTGCCCCGTTCCTCCATCCTGGGCGGAGAACGTATCAATTTTGAATTCATTGCATGTCTGATAAACGATATTGTACACGCGCCGACTGATATTGAGTTAAAATTATTCATGCGCAATTATTGCGTACTCGTCATTTTCGAATAGCATTCAAATAAAGCTGAAATGCGTATTTTTCACCGGGAAAGAAATGATGGAAACTGACCATAACAGAAAAAACAGCTCACTGTTCTGATTTTGATTCTGAAATAGTGAAATTTATTGAATTTACCTGATATACTATGTAAACCCCTCAAGTATTTGACATGTTTTATTTTTGGTATGTAGTTTCCATGGTTACAAACACATTGTCAAGTCCCGTACGATTGACATTCTTATTACAAGACCATTGTTTTTAGAAAGAATATTCAAGTGTAATTATTGTATATGCCAATTTAGGGATAATAAGTGATAGATTTCAACAATTTGTTTCATCTACGTGAGTAGTTTAATATCTTCAATAATAAGGAGGGTCGTGATTCGAAACCCCTCCAAATTACATCGTTTATCATTTCATATCATAAGCAACATAAAACATACCGTGTCCTTCTCCTTGGCCGCATCACTGGAAGGTTCAGGGAACAATCTGGATTTATCACTTCCTCTGAAAACTGAGACCCCTTCTCGATATCCAATTTTAACGAGATGACGCGTGAAATCACTGACAGTACCAGAAACCAATTAAACTTCCAAGGATATATTAGATAGATCACGATTCCCGCAGTGAATCTCAATTCCTCTCCTGCTCAACTATACTAACAGTACTCGGATTAATTAAGATAAAGAAGACGGCAGACCGATGTTTCTGTTTGAACGAAATTCGAACGCACTGCGCACGATCGCCACCTTTTAAATCATATACAGTTATTTTGCCCTGTTCGAATAATTAACACATGACGACATGACAGCATATCCAATTATGTGGCACATAACATGACATGACATCACACCCAATCATGTGACACATAACATAACACGACATCACACCCAACCATATGACACATAACATAACATGACATCACACCCAATCATGTGACACATATCATAAAATGATACCACATCCAATCATGTGACACATAACATAACATAACATAACATAACATAACATAACATAACATAACATAACATAACATAACATAACATAACATAACATAACACTCAATCATGTGACACATAACATAACCGATTTGCGCATTCAATAAGAAAGGCAAAAATAAATACCAATTGAAAAAGTGTTATTATTATTCTAATACTGCGACCCTGGCAGAATAGAATATTTGCTTTATTCAACACCCGTGACCACCAGTTTAAAGGCTATGCCGCATTCAACACAATGTATCTCGTAGATTGAACACTGCGACGCAATGTATCTCGTAAATTGAATACTTTGACGCAATGTATCTCGTAGATTGAACACTGTGACGCAATGTATCTCGTAGATTGAACACTGTGACGCAATGTATCTCGTAGATTCAAAACAGTGACGCAATGTATCTCGTAGATTCAACACTGTGACGCAATGTATCTCGTAGATTCAACACTGTGACGCAATGTATCTCGTAAATTGAACACTGACGCAATGTATTCCGCAGATTGAACACTGTGACGCAATGTATCTCGTAGAATCAACACTGTGACGCAATGTATCTGGTAGATTGCACACTGTGACGTAATATATCTCGCAGATTGAACACTGTGACGCAATGTATCTCGTAGATTGAACACTGTGACGCAATGTATCTCGTAGTTTGAACACTGACGCAATGTTTCTCGTAAATTGAACACTGTGACGCAATGTATCTCGTAAATTGAACACTGACGCAATGTATTCCGTAGATTGAACACTGTGACGCAATGTATCTCGTAGAATCAACACTGTGACGCAATGTACCTCGTAAATTGAACACTGACGCAATGTATTCCGTAGATTGAACACTGTGACGCAATGTATCTCGTAGAATCAACACTGTGACGCAATGTATCTCGTAAATTGAACACTGACGCAATGTATTCCGTAGATTGAACACTGTGACGCAATGTATCTCGTAGAATCAACACTGTGACGCAATGTATCTCGTAGAATCAACACTGTGACGCAATGTATCTGGTAGATTGTACACTGTGACGTAATATATCTCGCAGATTGAACACTGTGACGCAATGTATCTCGTAGATTGAACACTGACGCAATGTATCTCGTAGTTTGAACACTGACGCAATGTTTCTCGTAAATTGAACACTGTGACGCAATATATCTCGTAGATTGAACACTGTGACGCAATGTATTTCATAGATAGAACACTGTGACGCAATGTATCTCGTAAATTGAACACTGTGACGCAATGTATCTCGTAGATTGAACACTGTGACGCAATGTATCTCGTAGATTGAACACTGTGACGCAATGTATCTCGTAGATTGAACACTGTGACCAATGTATCTCGTAGATTCATCACTGTGACGCAATGTATCTCGTAGATTCAACACTGTGACGCAATGTATCTCGTAAATTGAACACTGTGACGCAATGTATCTCGTAGATTGAACATTGTGACGCAATCTATCTCGTAGATTCAAATCTGTGACGCAATGTATCTCGTAGAATCAACACTGTGACGCAATGTATCTGGTAGATTGTACACTGTGACGTAATGTATCTCGTAGATTGAACACTGTGACGCAATGTATCTCGTAGTTTGAACACTGACGCAATGTTTCTCGTAAATTGAACACTGTGACGCAATGTATCTCGTAGATTGAACACTGTGACGCAATGTATTTCGTAGATTGAACACTGTGACGCAATCTTCTCGAATTCAATCTGTGACGCAATGTATCTCGTAGATTACACTGTGACGCAATGTATTT